CATGTATGTAATGATAACAGTATATTGAACTTAAATTCGAGATTGCCATGCATTAACAAACGTCCAAATCTGCTTTTGGAGATAACTGATTGCTAAATGTAAATTTATAACACATATCAAAATACATAGATGTTGACCTGTTTTCTCTGTACAAAAGCATCATGTTGGAATCAAGAAGTGGTCTTGTTTATAATACAGTCGAATTTTCACGATTTTACTCAATATTTTAATAGAGGTCACTGATATTCTGAGACCTTTGACAGCATCGATAAGGTATTTTCTCATTGGTCCATAATATTAATGTTGGTGAAATCGGCCCACAATATGCCATACGTCCCTTATATACATAAAAATGTAAACAATACTTATGAATCCACCGACGGCATGTTTCTCGTGAAACATTTCCTGCGGCTTCTTCATTACATTTTGCTGTTATGTCCCTTGCATTGTAGGACTGATATTACGTGGCCTACCAACACTGTACCTTGAAACATGGGTTGACCCTGTGTCTCCATACTTTAAAATATCTGCCACCGTAGACTTGGAGGGATTTATTTTTTTTTTGGCAATATCCCGGAAACTGTTTCCTTGTTGAAACAATTACAGTGAAGCTCCGTTGTGTCGCTTGACTACGCGACACTTTAAAGCAAATTGATTCACAGAATTGATTCTTAAATCAAAACGTCAAATTGTAAGCAGTTGTCTGTTTCAATGGCCTGCAACTATTTACTTTTTGACATTACTTGAAAACAGCTTTGTTAATATGATGTGCAAACGATATTATTTATTGTCTTATAAAATAAAAACATTCAGTCTTTAACCTTACAAAAATAAACAAACTTTTAGATACAATTAGATAATGTCATGAATATTTTTGTATTAGGGCTCGTAGCCTAGATTTTTCCCAACAGCTGCGGCTCTTGAATAGAAGTGTGCGTGCCAGATCAAGTTTCCTGTGATCTCTACTCCGACCAGCCGAACTCTTTTTGTTCGTCAAGGTACAGTACTGTGGTTTAGCAGCATTAAACTGTTCAAGGTTGTTGTGTCCCCAATCAGTGATAAGAGTCAGAAAGAAAGTCGCTGCTAGTCTTATTTGTTCTCGCTCATCGGCCGAGATCGGTTTGTCATTCTGAATTCCTGCATGTAGAGTGCTGTCCCCGGCACAGCTGTGGATTGAGTTGTTCGTACAGGAAAGGAAAGTCGTTGATATGTAAGAGGAACAGTGTCGGAGCAAAGACCGATCCTTGGGGAGCATCCGCGTTGAAGTTGTGAGACGGAGAGGAGAACCCGTCAATTGCGGCCAGAGAAGTCATCTATTCATCTGCAAAGCTTTTCTGGAAGATCATAGGTTGGAAGTTTGCATAAGAGGGCAGCAAGCCACAGGTGATAGAACACAGAGCAACGTCATGAGCCTCACCATATGACTGGATGATCTTACTCCACCGTCGCGTGACGTAGGCTAGGAGTTCCCTCGTGGAATGCTGGTGCCAGAAGCCACAATGCCTGACACTAATCAAGCCGTGACTTTCCAGGTTCTCCAGAAGCTGCTAATTAGAGCACCTCTCAAACACAAGGCCTGTAGTTGTGAAGGTCGGTCTTAAAAGCATATCAAGCAATCGATGTTCTTATGCCCCGTCACCGCATGAGACTGGTAACATTTTATGACGTCCATCCAAGGCTGAAAAAGGGGGTGAGTGGACAATATGAATATATAAATAAATGGTATCGGCTAATTTATCAGGGATATTAAAAGTTAATGGGGCATTTTGTTGCGCCATCTCGTTCATCGATGCATCGCCCGCATTTAATTATACAGATTTGGGTAATACCTTTCTGCTGAAATGGGAAATTTTATATAATTTGTGCTGTGGTGGAAGTAAAAAGTGGATATGAAAATATGGTTTACCACATCGTAAAATTTAAATTTATTATCCTCCCTTTTTCTGGTCACATGCGTACTAAGCTATTATTATAGTATATTTTTAAATTTTCCTGAATGGCACATCAAGGCGCATTAGAAGTATGTATTTGGATTGTTTTTCTGTACAGCTTTGAAAATTGCGCGATACTCCAATAATTTAGACATTTATTTCGGACAAGTTAAAATAACTTTTACAAACTCGGCGAAAAATTTATGGGTTACAGTTTTTTTTTTGTACTGTTATTGGCACTGGTCGATGACCAACTGGCAAGATCCTTATGTTCAGTATAATGTTATGCTTTAATAGAAAATAGAACATCTATTACTTAATATAACTATTGTATATTATTTCTATTATAGTTACAGAGTATGCGAACACATATTTCTCTTTTTTTTAAGTTTTTTCTTTAACCAATACTTTTTACTTATTTTTTGCTTTTCTCTATTTTGTTTATTAGATTGTTTTTTTTTATTTATTTATGCATATCTACATATATATATATTACTTTATACTGATCTGCTTCTTTGTTTTTTTTTCAATATTTTCTTCTTTTTCTCATTTTTTCAAACAAACTTACTGTAATTTACATTCTATAATGTTAGGCCTACTTTCCGACAATGCTTGTATAAAAGTTCGTAAACTTGCTGGTTCCCAGAACTGAGGATTGATTCTAAATTTAGAGGCAAAGGAAGGTGATTCGCTAAAATTTTATACAATTCAGAATTTTCGTTGTTAGAACTTGTACATTCTAATATTAAGTGTTGCAAGGTTCCCATATTTCCACAACTGCAAAGTGGATCATCTCCGTACCCAATTCTTGATTTATGAAGAGGCGTGGGTTACAGTTTTCACAGCATATTTATCTCTCTTCTAGCCGCAAGGGCGTTTTCGTCTTTCTCAAAATTCTTGAGTCAGGTCTTTTAGTGCATTAGAAATCGGCAGTCAACATCTCTTCACTTAAAGAACCTCAGGTAGCTCAGTATAGAGAAAGAAGGTTCGTTATAGATCCGTACTATACCATACCCAATACTGAATCTTTACAAACCAACTAACAATTATCACTCCTATTAGAGTTGCAGGAATGATTATACGGTATTCCTTAAACAGCATTGTATACTGTAAGAACATTGGCAAAACCCTCCTAGAACAGCTATACAAGCGGAATGGGCACACCTAATAAGACACTTCAGTCATTTAAGAGGTTGTATAAGGGCTGCAGGTAACAGTTATAAAACAAAAGTGTAAGCCTCTTGCAGCCGCTATACGACATTTATCAGTGCAAGATTCAGTTTTTGTCAACTGTACAACTATTCTGTTACGTGATTCTACTTTATTGCAACCAAACTATTTCTTATCTATTGTATAGACGAAGTGAACAATATATAACTAACACATTACAGTCATCTTGTTTACTTACATATCGGCCATTGTGAATTTCATACACAGGTATATGATAAACTTCTATACTGTGATATAGAGCTATTGAATTACTTGCGCAGCAAATTTTATTTTGATTATCGTACAAAGTAGTTACGCAATTTCTACGGGTTTCGTATTTGATTCATATTTTAAAAATGATCAAAAGTATGTCTAGATTTTTAAGATGGAAAACTGAACTTATCTGCGCTAAATCTTCCACAAATCCGATATTTGGATACAATTACACTAATTTTTATCACTTTATATCTGTAATTTCGAAGTGAAACATAATAATTTAATATTAAATAGAGGAATAAATGTTTGCCCAATATGGCGGATGGTTGTGCATAATCATGGCATCGTTCAATATTGTCTTTAGTTTATTAGAATATTTTGGTGTTGCCTGCAGGTGTTATACAACAATTTGACAAATGTCTGAAATGAAATACCAACAGAGTGGAATGATTTACCCAGAATTTGTACCAGATCTATATCTTCTGTTAGAACAGTTGATAAAACCTTTTGAACCAATATGCATGCGTTGATTGTCTTAAAACATTGGTTATGGCATTTCAACAAAAATATGACAGCAGAAAGTTAGGTTATGGTGAAGTTGTTTACCAACATATTTAGCATATGTACCGCCTTTAACAGTTACTAAACAACAGTTGTATAAGTGCTTCCGTTGGGAGCAATTTGTTGGCTAATGTAGTAAATTGCACAGCAAAACAACAAAGCTCGGGTTTGTTTTATAAACGTTACCACAACACAACCGTTTTGACTAACTTGCAAATATGCCATATAAAATAGTTGTATAAACGTTTATGCAACAGTTAAAAATTTGCCCTATAAGGTGTTATATAACTATGCTATAAGAATATGTTAAACACCTCATTTTAGAGCAAATATGTTGCAGAAAGCAAATTTGCATTCCACACAACAATAAGCCAGCATTTTGGTGTTCAGGCAACAACAATAGAGAGCTTTTATGGCTGAACGGTTCTTTTACCAAAAGCTTACACCACTACTTTGCTAGTTGGGAAGGAGATCAAGACCAGTGCCGTCGTGCATAGCCGTAACACGAGGTGTAAACATTATTTCTCGCATACCTAAATTTAACACAAGTGCTCTTTCTCATTTGCTATAGTTAATGTTTAGAGCTCGCTGTCTGATTTTAGGCTTATTAATTTTGAGATTTGGGCGAGGAGCGAATACTATTTTAGGACTTGAGATGACTTAAATTGTACAATTAACGCTGATTTGCCATTTATTGTTCTAAATGTCTTTTTAGTCTGATCCTTGATACCTTACTTTTATAAATCATCAGCGATAACTTCTAACTATTAAGTTCAAACATGTACATGTTTATATGTATGTGTGTTAATTTCTCTCTCACTATTATAGTTTTATCAAGTATTGCTATTTTTACTGATATACTTCTTTCCTTTTTCTGGTCAAGTGGAAGAGCATGGATTGGCAACTGATGGTTATCAGTCAAGCGAACCTTGCCGCTTGGTCACTGCATCAGAACTATGAGTATTTTTTTTCTGTACTTGCATACAATAAAAGCAATTTATTATTATTATTATACACCTTTTCCTCCAAAGATGAAACACGTATTGAGTAAAATAGCAATCATAGTTTGTAGTTCATTTATTTGTTTCTAACAGGGTCATGGTTCTCAGGAACATACTATATGATACCATCGTCTTCACAGCCTGTGAAAAAAAATCACGTTAAATTTTATTCAGCTGATATCGTGATATATTCAAAATACTATCAGGATGTGATGAGATATTATTCAAAAGTACATAACACTTTTCACAATTAGAGATTGAGTTCCAAATAAAAAGATTCAACAAAAAATCGTGGAATATCTAGACGGACTGACCCATACTACAAATATATGCTTTGGACGAGAACTTACCGCCATACCGGTTTCTAAATTCAAATCCAGCAATCCGCCAGCACTAAATATCACAGAGATTTGTGATTTGCCGAGCAAGGTCAACACGTCGCTGTAATGCTCCGGACTGCGATACCAGTTGCTATTGAAGACGCTCTGTGTTAGCTTGTCAGCCTTAAAGAGAAATATTTATTATCATATCCAGCTTAACGAGTGGTTCTGACAAAATGATATATTCGTAATGCTTTTAGAATTAGGAAACACTGAAATGGTTTGGTACTTGATTCTGGTGAAGCTTTCCGATGGACAGAAGCTGGTAGTGTATGTTCAATAAGTTTTGGCACGAAATATTTATCGGATTCAAATACTAACTGCTTATAATAGATAAAAACTCAATACTTAAGTAAACTATACTATCGAATCTCTTTCATAAGGTCCTCTACAGATTTCAGCTTTGGTTATCCGCCCAACCAGCTTGTAGATACCTTTTCCTATTTCTAATCTATATGACATCTTAAGGCGAAAACTTCAAAGTAAATAAATGTCAACTGACAGTTAAGTAAGTAAGCAAAGACAACTTGATATTATTTTGTGTTTGCTAAAATTAAAGCCAACGAGTTTTGTGCCAAAACTTTAAGGGCATACGTTAGCATTGAGAAAGGAACGAGCATTACTGGGCAGTCAAATATACCTCCTCCATGAGTTCCTGCGCAGGCATGCAGTAGAATACGGCAAACGTGAAAAACATCAGCGCTCCATAGACCAAAGCCCTTATTATGTCCTCCAAATCATCCCTGAAATATACAGATGCTGCTCAAACCACTTTGGCCTCCAATCCGCTCATCCATATTTTACTTACAGTATAGATAGGAAGTATAATTCAATACACAGTATTACTGTTATAACTTCCAGGTAAACCAAGAGCAAGCCGGAAAATGCATCATTGAGCTCCGTCCTGAAACTAACGTTTATTTTTGAGCGTTTACAGGCCTACGTTACTCTACAAAAGCTAATGTTTAGTCTGAAATAGTGCCGTGATAAAAAACATACTCATGAAGTACAAAAATATCAAGCTCTCCATGAAGGTTCATGTAAATGCTCGATCGACTTCCATGTTAAGACATTACGAGTACATTTTAAGCATAATGTACAGCTTGACACAAAAGTCCCGGGTAAGGTATTTTAGGAAAAGAGCAATGGTCAGGTCTCCAGTTACTTTTACCTGAACCTTGACCTTGATTTTCAAGGTTAATTCAAACTTAATTTCTTTAAACAGGTTTAATGCCGGCAATCGAAAGAACAGACAATTTTACATTAAAACACAATTAATGTCCAAGGTCAGTTTTACTACTAAACGTCACTTAAAAATCAAATGTGAGCTTTCTGCTAGGAAAACCTCTTATCTCTAAATCTCATAGGACGACTAATGAAAACACCTATTAAGGTCAGGTCTGTGGAAAATTTATCGAGGGAGTTAACGGTGATATTAGATTTGACCTTAATCCTCACCAAGGTCATTTCAAGGCCAACTTAATTTCTTTGATGAAAGTATCTATTTTCGGTTCTGGCAATCGAAAGAGAGGCAAATTTTTACGTTCAAATACGAATTGAAGACCAAGGTCATGATGACCACTAAAGGTCAAATGGAGGTCAAATGTGTGCTGCTAGACAAACCACCATGGATCTTACAGGATCAGTGATGAACATAACTATCAAGGTCAGTCTTTAAGTAAACATTGACGAGTGATCTTGGATATGACCTTGAACCTCCCTTCAACGTTATTTTTTCGAGTAGAGACTTGCAGGAGCAGTATCGGTTAAAAACGATTCCCCTCGTTAAAACTTACCCAAAGTCTACTTAATTTTTTTAATTTAAGTAAAATGAAAAGAGCGGAAAATTTTGCATACAATGTGTATAAAAATTCACAATCAAGATGGCTGCTTTGGATGAAATAAGTTAAGTAAAGGTCAAATATGTGCTGCTAGAAAAACATCTAGAAATCTCGCAGGGATCGTGACGAAAGTAACTGGTAAGGTCAAATCTTTAGCAAAATTTTCACATGTCGCCGTTGTCTTGCATTTGACTTGGCACCTCACCTTCAATGACATTTAAACATCAACTCTATTTCCAAATAAGTCAATAACTTACAAGGTCAGATCTTCGGGTAAGTTTTAGCGCGGGAACCACGGCGCTCTCTAATCGATACTGTGCCAGCGGGTTTCTATTTGAAAAAAGGCCCTGAGATGACCTTGAAGGTGAAGTTAAAAGTCAAATCCAAAATCACTCGCCGAAATTTACCACAGACCCGACCTTGACAGTTATTTTCGTCACTAATCCTGTGAGATTGATTATTTAACCTTGGACTTCAATTGTATTGAACGTAATATTTTCTGTTGTAGGGGTTTCTATCTGAAAAAATTTAGCTGACCATAAAATAACCTTGAAGATGAAGGTCAAGGTCAAATTCAAGGTCACCATTCAATTCCTTGCTGAAAGTTACTGAAAGAGCTGGCCTTGATCTGTTTAAAAAATACCTTACACGGTAAAATATTGCAGATAGGAAAAGGCACAACGGGCATCGCCACCTTGTGGTTCCAGAAGTCTTACTGTCAAAAACTGGACTCACTATTTCACATAGGGAAGCTTATATTATTACACCTGATCACATTGTTTAGCAAAATCATAGTTACGGATGGCTGACAACCGAAGTGCCGAATACATGTTCTACTCTTCTTCGCTATTTAGATGCTCTAGTAACACCTTTATCTGTAACAAGCTTTAGATCTATGTACTTACTTCAACAAAAGGGTGTGATGATCATCGCATCTCTTTATCCTTTTCTTCAGTAGGTCCATAACCTCACATTTTTTATCGTTCTCCAGGCTGAATATATTTTCCATTTCGTGTTGCAGTAGTTTGAACTGCAAGGCGGTTAAAGACAGGATGCTGTATATCATGACATCCATGGCGATTTCCGTAGATACCAGACCAAACGAAGCGATGTGTTGCCAAGCAAACAGCACCTGTACCAGAAAACAAATGAGTACTTGATATGTGTAACACTAAAAAAAAAAGATGTTCTCTTAGCATTTTGGTAACCCTAGAATGCGCACTTCATCGTAGAATGAGTTAAACTTAAGGGCCAATTTCACCAACATTAATATTTAACGGTCCCTTGGACGAATAGGAAATGCAATTTGACAGAAGCTGTCGAGGCTCTCTGAAAAAACGGTTGCCTTATAAATAAGGGTACATTACAGATGTAATATTATGTCTCTGAGCTTTAGGATTAGGATAACTTTCATAGAATTTAAAATTTTTGTCACATCAGAAAAACCGGTCAGTTATTTGAGTGGGACCAATCGGAATGCGGCAAATAATAGGTCGATATTCTAGCTATTATATTTGGTAGGATGTTTTCACTGTTGACGTCTGTTCATGCATGGCAATCTAGTTTTGTCTGTACATCACGTACAGAGTGTTGTACATAATACGTACCTGTAGAAATGTACCGATTTTTGTTATTTTGCAAAAAAGGATATAATACGTATGCCAACTGGTTCGTCATCTTTGGTTAAATCAAAAACAATTTTTGCCAGTTTATGATCTAAAAATCCACACCAAATGTAAACAAACAGCACATTCTGCATTTCTGGGTCCTAAAACGTCGATATTTGTAAAAGTGTCCACATCCACCTATTATTCATCGTCTAGATATTATAAGTAAGAATCAAAAATACCTATTTATGAAAACATATCTCCAAACCTTGTTATATTATCGGTAAATATTCTCTTTTCAGTTAAAATACCGAAAAATCCGGTTCAAGCCCATGCATAGACAATCTGAAATTTGCAATATGAGTTTATATTCTAAATTCTATACATATCTGTTCATATTCGTCAATATCCCATTTGAAGCATTTATTTGTCATAAGATATTAGCAAAATACAAGATAGTAAAGGCAACACCGTACCCTGCAGCCCAGTTGACAAGAACGACAAGCTGTCAAGATTAGGGATGTTTAGATCCACCACGAAAAGTATCGTTATGTATCGATCCTTATTGTTTTAGAAAGTATCGATATTCTAAAATATTGGAATAAAATTATCGATATCCAGCGGAAGGAAACAAAGAAGAAAAGTAATCTGAAGTTAGTCACTCGTTCTGACACAGTCCGGATCGAAAGATGACGATACCCGCGAAATGTGTCGATACACCCAAATGTCGTGTATAATAATATCGATCCAAAATATCGGGGATGGGAAGCAAATGTATCGATACTTTTTAATGTAGGATCGTATCGAACATCCCTACTGTCCGAAGTATCGACGCAGCTATTTTGGGGCGTCATGGAAGTAATTTTAAATTTTCATTTGCATTTTTTCATGTGTTGGGAAACATTTTTTTAAATTTTGAATGAATTATATGTAATTTCTTAATTCCCAATAAGCTGATGCTTCAAGGACAAGCTGTCATCTCATACTTTGACAATATTTTGTTTTCAACATCATAGGTATTGGTTGCTGAAATTTGTTGATTGGATGTTGAAGCTCATTTGCTTTATTTGACGGAATGTTACCGTATAGGTGGAGAATAGCGGACTGTTAGTTTGACAACCTTCGTGAAATCGACCAAGTCTAGCATTCTATGGACTGTTTACCCAAACAAAACTTGTTGCCCTCAATAACGATTATGGTTTGTGGAAATACGGAAAAAAGTCTTCAACAACTCCCAACTTCTAAGCTCAAAAGCGGAATTAAGTAGATTGACCCAATGAACGCGTTCAGCGAGCTTAACGCGGTGCAGCACCTTGAAGCTGAAAAGCCTTAGCTCAGGATTCGCCTTGGAAGTTTGCAATATTTGATCAATAAGCCATCAAATGTCACAGCTATGCGAAAACTATACTAAGTGACATATAAATCCGAACACCCAGTTTAAATGGTTTTATTTTAATAAAATTTTGTATAAGTACTTAATGAAGCATAATAAGTAAATGATGAAAATTTCAAAATGATTGCACTGCTTTAAAGCCCTTTGACCTTCAATAATGTGTGGATGCACCCTGATGTGCTACGCATTCTCCAACGCGCCTAGGCATGCTTCTGATCAGGTGGTCAATGTGCTCCTGTGGTATCTCATTCCAGGCAACCACCAACTCCTCTCGAAGTGCTTCTAGAGTCTGAGGAGGACGTTGCAAATTGAGCAATCTCCTACCCATCATATCCCACACGTCCTCAATTGGGGATAAGTCGGGATATAAGAAGTCTATTGTGACACTTGCAACATGTGGTCGGGCATTATCTTGTTGGAAAGTTGGATCTGCCAGGGTGCCAAGATAGGGTAAAAGATGGGGTTCTAGAACTTCGTGGATATAACGCTGCGTGTTCATGTTACCTCTGATGAAGATTTAAGGTGACCTGGAACCATAAGCTATAGCACCCCAAACCATAACTCCAACAGTGTGATGAACATGTCTTTCAACAAAAAACTGTGGATTCCTCCTTTCACCACGTCGCCTTCTAACCCTGGCACGACCATCGTGCATGCCTAAACAAAATCGAGACTCGTCACTAAAGACCATACTGTTCCATTCCTGATCCCAGAGTGACCGTTGTCTGCACCACTCAAGGCGATTACGTCGGTGTTCTCGAGTTAAAGGGATGAAGCAGTGTGGCCGGTATGAAAACAAGCCAAAACTTCTCATTCGTCGGTAAACACTTCGTATGCCAATAGGTCTTCCGTGTTCTGCAAACCATTCATTTGCAATGGACCTGGTAGTGGAGAAACGGCCAATAATCTTAGGCGGCGATCTTCACGGTCTGTTGTTCTACGGCGGCGTCCAGTGCCCCTTGCTCTTTGCGTACGGCCTTCTCGAAGCCATGCCTGACAACACCTAACCACAGTGTCTACACTTCTTTGCACTCCAGCTGCAATTGCCCGAAAAGAAAGTCCAGCTTCCCGAAGTCCCACTATACGGCCCCTATCAAACTCACTAAGTTGACGAAATCGTACAGGTCTCCGTACTCTAGGCATCGTAACCGATCTTACAGGATGTCAAGAACCAAAATCCGCCAACGTTGATTCTTTACTGCGGCTGACATATGTATTCATTTTTAGAGCGTTAGTGAATTAAAAAAAGCAGTATAAAAACCGGAATCTCCAACTGATAAGGCTGAAATTTTTTTCACTTGTTATTTACAGTAAGATAAATATACTCACCAACTTTTATTAAAATAAAACCATTTAAACTGGGTGTTCGGATTTATATGTCACTTAGTATAATTTCATACTGGCATAGCTATCCTGTTTTACATTCTCTACAGGCTTTCAAAGCTCATCGACATATTGAAAGAACCTTAGTGTCGAAATTTGTAAATTATTCATTCCAGAAATTGAAAGCGACATCCTGCTACATGGAGGTGCACAATCGATAACTGGCTAGTGTTTTAAGCTATTTGAAAAATTTATATTTCGCGATTACAACAAATACAGTCACAAAAATCCCTAGGAGCATCACAAGGCAATCGGTTGACATACATATGATAACCAATCAAAAATATTTAGAAAACATGAAATCTGGCGTTAGTCCTCCGATAGAGATTTTCGATAGTATCAGAGAAGCCTTTGGTGTACATACTATTTGTGATCATGTGTCCAAGGGTCCAGCTCAAACAAAACTTTGTCAGAATTTATAATCCTTTACTACAACTATTTAAAACTGTAATGACCCATACGCGTGATCAACACGTGATCAGAGCTCGATCCCGGCTTCCTTCCAGTACAGCCATATAGCGTACGACATATGTCGTTTCTGTGGCTTTGCGGTGGTCAACAGCACAGACAGAGATGGAAATAATGGCTAATTGTTCTCCGCCTCGACCGGCAGACTCATACGCGTCGGCAACGCATTGGAACGTGTTTCGTTGAGCGATTGTTATTGTTGTGGTTTCTGTGGTTACTGCTTTGGTTATACTTAACCATGGAGAGTACAAATGGCACGAGTGGAAGTACTGAAAGCCAGGGAACAAGTAGACGGCTTCGTAAAGCACTGAAGAGGGACGCGAAAGAAATCGCGCTCAACGTGTTCAATTATCTGAACAGAACTATGTCGCAGGGAGATGCACTCGCGCGTTGTGAAAGTATGACAGGCGTTCCAGAGTGGACCATTCGCAGGGTGGTGCATGAAAAGAAGAAAACTGGAACTACTACTGATCCAAAGTTTAATTTGAAGGGACGATAGGCCGTTAAATTGGATGACGATAGCAAAATGGCGTTAAGGCGAACCGTACATTCATTCTTCTTTAGGAATGAGATACCAACCCTCAAAGGTGTACATGCAGCGATCAAGGAAAATGAAATTATACCCCAAATGAGCGTCGAGGTAATGAGGAAATCCCTGCACGAAATTAATTTTCGTTACGAAACGCGTAATCGTAAGTCAGTATTGATAGAGAGACCTGAAATAGTCGCCTGGCGTCGAAAATACCTACGCGAAATGATTGAATATAGGCGATAAAGCAGAAAAATCTATTATTTGGACGAGACATGGGTAAATGCAGGTCACACAGTTAAAAAAACGTAGTGAGTAACCGACAAGCAAGCATTGAAGGTTTGTCAACAGGTCTCCGTGGACCGTCAGGGAAAGGTCAAAGATTGATCGTAACTCATATTGGTAGCGATAGTGGCTTTTTAGAAGAGTGTGACTTGATTTTCGTCTCTAAGAAAGGAGGTGATTACCATGACGAAATAAATGCCAGCTGCTTCGAGAGCTGGTTTCAAGGGGTGCTTCAGCAAGTTGAGCCCAACTCTGTGATCGTCATGGATAATGCTTCCTACCATAGTCGTCGAGCCGAACGTGTACCGACTATGGGATCTCGAAAAAGTGACATGCAGCAATGGTTGCGCGAAAAACGAATCCCGTTTGACGATTCATCTGTGAAAGCGAGATTGTATGAAAAAATTAAACAGCACAAACCTGCGAACATTAGTTACGTGACTGATGAGATGGCCCGTCAATGTGGTGTCACTGTGCTGCGGTTACCTCCCTACCACTGTGAACTGAACCCAATAGAGCTCATCTGGGCCCAAGTGAAGGGTTATATTGCGCGCCATAACACAACCTTCAAATTACCAGACGTTAAGGTTTTGCTTGAGACTTCCATACAGCTAGTAACGCCCGAAGCTTGGCAAAATGCTATCCGTCATGTTATGAAGGAAGAAACAAAAATGCGGCAGCTTGACCACCACATCGAAACCATCATAGAGCCAGTTATAGTCAATTTCAACGAGGAAAGCGATAGCGACAGTTTATTACTGTCAGATGTAAGTGGAAGCGACGATGAATAAAGGTAATTCCCAAATTTTTGACTTACAATATGTTTCAAACCACTCTTTATTAAGCATGTGACAAATCTAGTTCACCCATGTTAAACATTCATACCCCGCCTATGAACAGCCGACTACTGGTAGTTAAGTGATGTTCACGTGAACATCGATGATTCATTACAGTTTTAGATAGTTATAGTATAGCTGCAGTATGTAAGGTTAAATACCTTTTATAACCTGTACCACAATATGATAATTTTACTAACCCAAAAAGGCATCCATCCAGGCAAATAAGATTTAAACGGCAAGTTGTTATCTATGTGTCTGCCGTCCTTGACTAATCGCCCGTAGTGGTAGCTCACACAACAAGATATCATCATTGTCATGTAGATGATGTACTTAACCCTTGCTTTGTTAAACAGAACGAGGTAGGCTTGCTTCAACTCTGGTTGATGGTCATAAGAATCCACTCTCCAAAATCTCTCGTCCATGTCCTTCAGGAGCGCCATGATTTTCGGACGCTGAGTATAAAGACACAAGAGATTCAAAATCGCCTGTAGAATAAGAGACCTTTAGGAAAATGTTAATTGTCTACTTTTATTATTATTATTAAGCTTATACTTTGCGGTGTTATTATGGGAAGTTTCAACTACGTATAACTTAGACTTCTAAAAAACAGAGAATGCTTGCTCACCATTTTGTCGCTTTGAAATATCTCATAATAATTACAACAGTTTTGAGATTCTTTGCGATCTCAAGCTAGATTATCATCTTATTTTTTTTACTCGGCAAAGGAGTATCTCAACTTATACAAGAATGTGAATATAGACGTGGGATAAATTAAGCCAAAAAACAAGCTAATGGTCGTTATATTCAAACCGCTAAAAATAGACAGCAAGCACTATGGAATGTTATTAAAACAAAAAACCAATGAAAAGCCAACATAGAAGAGCGACACTCAGCGCATCTGACTCTAATCATTATTTCACTAATATTCCAAACGAGTTATTTGCATAAGGAACTCATACAAAAGATTTTGCTTTTAAAGAGGTTACATAGATTAAATAAATCTAAAAGTTCTGACGCTTTTGGTTTCAATGCAAGAGTTATTACAACCATTTAAAGCCTTATTACAATTCCACTAACAAACTATTCAATTGCTGTATTTCAAATGGTATATTTCCTGATATTATCAAACTGCCGATAGTTATCCCACTCGTTAAGAAAGACGACTCCAACGATCCTTCAAATTATAGACCTATACTAAGTGACATATAAATCCGAACACCCAGTTTAAATGGTTTTATTTTAATAAAAAGTTGGTGAATGTATTTATCTTACTGTAAATAACAAGTAAAAAAATTTTCAGCCTTATCAGTTGGACATTCCGGTTTTTATACTGCTTTTTTTTAATTCACTAATGCTCTAAAAATGAATATTTCAGCCGCAGTAAAGAATCAACGTTGGCGGATTTTGGTTCCTGACATCCTTTACGATCGGTTACGATGCCTAGAGTACGGAGACCTGTACGAATTCGTCAACTTAGTGAGTTTGATGAGGGCCGTATAGTGGGACTTCGGGAAGCTGGACTTTCTTTTCGGGCAATTGCAGTTATAGTGCAAAGAAGTGGTTAGGTGTTGTCAGGCATGGCTTCGAGAAGGTCGTACGCAAAGAGCAAGGGGCACTGGACGCCGCCCTAGAACAACAGATCGTGAAGATCGCCGCCTAAGATTATTGGCCTTAAGGGACCGTTTCTCCACTACCAGGTCCATTGCAAATGAATGGTTTGCATAACACGGAAGACCTATTGGCATGCGAAGTGTTTACCGACGAATGAGAAGTTTTGGCTTGTTTTCATACCGGCCACACTGGATCCTCCCTTTAACTCGAGAACACCGACGTAATCGCCTTGAGTGGTGCAGACAACGGTCATTCTTGGATCAGGAATGGAACAGTATTGTTTTTAGTGACGAGTCTCGATTTTGTTTAGGCATGCACGATGGTCGTGCCAGGGTTAGAAGGCGACGTGGTGAAAGGAGGAATCCACAGTTTTTTGTTGAAAGAAATGTTCATCACACTGTTGGAGTTATGGTTTGGGGTGCTATAGCTTATGGTTCCAGGTCACCTTTAATCTTCATCAGAGGTAACATGAACGCGCAGCGTTATATCCACGAAGTTCTAGAACCCCATCTTTTACCCTATCTTGACACCCTGGGAGATTCAACTTTCCAACAAGATAATTCCCGACCACATGTTGCAAGAGTGACAATAGACTTCTTTCAACATAATGATGTCACATTGTTACCATGGCCACCAAGATCTCCCGACTTATCCCCAATTGAGCACGTGTGGGATATGATGGGTAGGAGATTGCTCAATTTGCAACGTCCTCCTCAGACTCTAGAAGCACTTCGAGAGGAGTTGGTGGTTGCCTGGAATGAGATACCACAGGAGGACATTGACCACCTGATCAGAAGCATGCCTAGGTGCGTTGGAGAGTGCGTAGCACATCAGGGTGCGTCCACACATTATTAAAGGTCAAAGGGCTTTAAAGCAGTGCTATCATTTTGAAATTTTTATCATTTACTTATTATGCTTCATTAAGTACTTATACAAAATTTTATTAAAATAAAACCATTTAAACTGGGTGTTCGGATTTATATGTCACTTAGTATATTTCACTTATATCCCTAGCTGCTAAGATACTTGAGATTCTTTTGAAAGATGAGCTGATTGATAATTTTGAAAGCAACAACCTATTTACCGGCTATCAATTTGGTTTCAGATCAGAAAGGTCTACTTTTCTAGCTATTGACAACTTTAGTGAGAAAATAAATGCAGCTTTAGAAAGTGGTGCTTATTACTTAAGTAATTTTTTTAATCCTACTAAGGTCTTCGATTTTGTCCAATATGACATTATTCAACAAAAACTGTCGCGTTACAAGTTCCATAGTAGTAGCAGTAAGCTCTTGTCATCTTATTCGAGAACTGGATAGTAGCTTGTAACCTCCAGTACAATGACAGTTTTATGTGGCGTCCCACAGGGTTCTGTGCTGGGTCCACTTTTAATCCTTATATACATAAATGACCTTCCTAACTGTAATGCTCTTTAGGAGCAAACTGACTGATCTACTTTTCTCTGTGAATATTGAATACGTAATAGATTGACACTTAATGCTTCAAAGACACAGTCAATGGTGATAAGTTTGTGTCACCAGAACGGCTATACCATAGACACAGTAAAAGTTTTAGCTGTCGGTATTGACACACACCACTTTGGTGGAACATGTAAACAGTATTCTCATGGAACTATCTTAGACCATTTAATTAACTAGAAATCTAAAAATCTGTGCTTCTGGTGATACGTCGCTAACCACATGTTATGGGTACTTCCATTCAAGACTGTCATATGCACACGTGAACTGGGGTCATATGCCTCAAGTATTTGCAGTCGCCGCATGTATGAGTTATATAAAGCAGGCATTAATCATCCTAAAGATCCTTAACCTTCCATCTCTCTCCATATATTATGCTCACAACAATTTGGACCTATACAAAATGCACAGTGATGTACATAGTTACAATACACATAACATGCATACGTTAGATATTCCTAAACATCGTCTACAAAGAACTAGATCCGGTTATAACTACTATGGAATTCACTTTCATAATATTCTTCTTGAGGCACTCGGAGTGCCTGGCACCGGCTCATTTAAGTATTTTATTAAAGCGTACCTTATCAAGAGACTTTTTATAACATCGAAGAATTTTTAAGTAATAGCTTTTCATGGTGTTGTATTGAGCTTGTTTACTTTTGCTCCGTTTGTTGATTTGTTCGGGTGCGCTTGTTCTATATTTTTGTATTTATTATAAATTCATAATATCTTCTTACAGTTTTTCTGTTAATGTTGTTCTTTCCAACAAATTTTATTGTTTTGTAAACCTACCCTTTTGTATTTTATTAGCTCTTACTTTGTAAGCACGCAAGTGTATTAAGCACCAATAAAGAAATGAAATTAAAAAGCTATCTGCCCCTATGTACGATAAGCTTGTTTCGAGCAATTATACAGGGTGTCCGCAAAGTTGGGGTTTTCCTTTACACGACGTGTAGATCTTAAAAACATAAGCAAAATTTCTTAGCACCATATACACTAATGTCTTAAGGGAACCGCGATAAAGGGCTCTGCGCGTCCTGTAGCCGCGACCCACGACATCACCGAGTGACACAAGGTCACTGGCTCAACCCGACGACAGAACTGGGTCGGGGTCAGTGTGTCAGGTCAGTATGCAACCTTCAACCGATGGTTACGGTCACGCGTGTAGAGGTAAACGAACCCGTATAATCGATTGCGCTTAAAAAAAATAATAATGATGGCACACTCATACACCAATAATGAACTCGTTGATATGTTGTTAATTTATGGCGAATGTCTTCAAAATGCTACAGAGGCTTCGCGAGTGTATGCAGATCGTTTCCCTAGACGACATGATCCAAGGTCCCGCAGATTTGTGTACCTGGTCCAGAGAGTCAGCGATACGGGCCATTTGGAGGAATTTCGATGTGGGCACAGTGGGAGGCCTAGACAACCACGAATGGTGCAAGTTGAGGAAGAACTACTGAATCGCGTAGACGAGAATCCCTCAACAAGCACTAGAGACGTGGCTAGAGAAGTGCAAGTATCAAAAACTAAAGTGTGGCAAACGCTGCGTGAAGAGGGGCTGTATCCGTTTCACGTCCAACGTGTACAAGCCCTTCAACCTGACGATTTTCCAGCAAGAGTGCGGTTTTGTGAGTGGTTGTTGCATCAACATGACAATAATCCGGACTTTTTGAAGTGCATATTGGTGACAGACGAATCTACGTTCACGCAAATCGATTGGACGGGATACAAAACCTAGACTTTTTACGCAACATTTTGCCTTCCTTGTTAGAAGATGTGCCATTAAGTGTAAGACAATCAATGTGGTTTCTGCACGATGGTGCCCCATTTTAGACGCGAAGTGCGTGAGTTTTTGAATGAATTATTTCCGAATAGGTGGATTGGACGTAATAGACCCGGAGCGTGGCCTCCGCGATCTCCAGACTTAACACCATGTGATTTCTTTCTGTGGGAAGAAATGAAACGCTTAGTGTACAAAACTGAAGTGCATACGGTTGACGAACTTCATCTCAGAATTGAACAAGCTGGTGCTTTCATTCGGGGGAGCGACTCTATTCTCAAAGCCTGCACCGATGCTTGGCTACGTCGTGCACGCACCTGTGTTTTTGAATCTAACGGCGATAACTTCGAACATTACCCATAAAGTACGTTTATCTAAAAACTGAAAACGCGACAACGCCGTCATATTTGTTACCTCTGTTCGTGGTCTGCACCACCGCCTGCGTCTGCTCGGTAGCGCATCAGCTGATTTCATTTTCTGTTGGAGCGGTATGATCTCGGGCAGAGACGTACTTAGCCCTTCTCGTCAACTGGAGAGTGAGTACTTTTTCCTTTATTTTTTTTTACTTGGTCGTCCTCGTTTCACTACACATTACCTTTGTTATTTCAAGGGTAGTTGTTTCTGAAAAGGACAACCCCAACTTTGCGGAAACCCTGTATTTGTGAGTCTCTATTTGGTAGTGACTATGAAATCTCATTTAGATTTGTCTTAAAATGTTGAATCAGTCAAAAGAACAGCTTATAAAAACAGAAAGGAAACATCATATGTTCTCATAAGTTCCTGCGATCTGAAGATTTTTTAAATAGATGTCGAAAGGTTCATGGTGTTTCGTGATGTACAATGTAATAAGATATTCAGAGGTCAGATGCCTTAAATGCGAAATTGCTAGTAATCCCAATACTCCCTCATACAAAAATGGAATGCGTGATTTTTTTGTACAAAACTTCACTTCTGAATCCGCTGGATTAAATTTCAGAAACAGCAAAATCCATTCTCCACTACCGTATGAATCTAGTAGGTACCCTAGTCGAAGTTTAAACGGTACTTTTCGGATTTTAGTAAGAACAAATAGTTGGGGATGAGCGCTTGATAGGTCAGGAACAGATCAGAGAACTTCCTGTCAAAGTAATACAGTGTGTTCCTTAATGATGTGCGAATATTTAAAATTGTGAATCCACATGAAAAATTAATGTTAGTTTGCTTTATAAACTATGGTCCAAAAATGTTTCCTTACAAAAACTGGGGGTGTTGAAGTTTTAGGAAATTAATGGAAATTAATTAATGTTTTCAGAACCGCTTCGCAAATTTTACTGATATTTAGTACGTAGTGAAACTAAATGAAGTTGCATATTCTTCAATGCAAAAATAATTTTTAGCTTCAACAGTGCCGTGCGTACGGGCATTGGCTTCGATATTCTTTAAGAAAGTAATGTGTAATGTGTAAATTAGTTTTGAATTCCCCGTTCAATTTAAAACAAATGTTCTCTCTTGAATTGTTTTCCTTTGATGCGCCATTTTTGAGTAAAAAAATAAAAACCGTTCCATTGTCCAACTTGCAAACTTATAATTAATTTAGTTTGAAAAATTAAACACATTAGGGGTAATGAACAACAACAACTAACAACATAAACATAACATTAAAACCAACGAAACGATTAAAAAAATTGTTTTAAATGGCCCCCTTCATTTAGAATGCATGCTTCCGCCCTCCTTCTCATGGAATTACGCACACGTTGAAATATCAGTGGAGTGTTTTTTATTCTATCACAAGCTGCAACTATTCTTTCTCTTAATTCCTCTACAGTGTTAATGGGACTTATGTACACTAGTGTTTTGAGATAGCCCCACAAAGAGAAATCTAAACTGTTGAGGTCTAGTAGACCATGCGATGAATTTAGGGATCACCGTGGATTCAGATTTGAGGTTTAATCAACACGTTACGCATTTATCTCGCTTAAAATACATGCGTTTGAAGATATTATACACCAATTGCCATATTCTGAATTTCAAGACTCGGAAAAAACTGGCTGATACTCTGGTTCTTACGTTAATAAATTATTCAATTGCTGTTTACTTTCCTTGTCTTGATTACATGACTAGATATCGTGTACAAAAAATTCAAAATAGCTGCTGTAGGTTCATTTGTCGTCTGCGAAAGTTTAGCCATGTGTCTAAGAAGATCAATGAGCTTAGATGGTTGAGGGTTGACCAGCTTTTCACGAATAATTCATTAATTTTAGTACGAATAAAAATCAATAGGCTACCTACTTATCTACTAAAAAGGCTGGTACCACGTGGGGATCTCAATTACAGGAATCTGAGACATAACTCTGACTTCAATATACCTAGTTATAGGAGCAACATTTTCCATCGGAGCTTCACCTACAACGCTGTCAAGGTGTATAATAGTCTTAATGACAATTACAACAAGAAGGGAATACTTGCATTCAAGATAGCCATTAAGAACCATCTTCTGGGGTCTGCTAGCCAAGCTGGCTGATATATTTATATATTTATTTTTTCTGTTTATTGTTTTTTTTTGTTAGAGTGGGCTATGTAGAATAGATGTAAGCCAGATTGCTTGCCAGAAATGAGAGACGTGCCAAGATTTGATAATCAGGTATTGAACTCGTCTGAACCTGAGTTAGATCCATCTGAGAGTCAACCATCAACTGCACCAGAAGATAAAATAAATTTGGATGCTGAATTGAAGCCATCTGAGAATCAAATTTCAAAAGAACCACAAATTAATATAACACAAAATATATTCATAAAACCTGGCAAAGACACTATCTATAGTTTGCCATCTACTAGTAAAAATATAGGTGACTACTTAGTAGTTCCAGAAAAACCAACAAGAAAGAATAAACGTAATATCGAAAGAGTTTCCTTTGCTATAGCATCAAAAGAGTATCAAGAGAGTTTTGAAAAAAAACGTGCCTCAAAGTTAGAATTAGAAAATAAAAAATTGGAGAGAAAACGGAAAAGAGAAGAGAGTGTCGCAGCAGAGGCTTTAAAAAAGAGTGCGCAAGGTAATGACAAAGATAATAATTCATGTTTTGTATGCAAAGTTCGTACAATAAAGAATCATTACTTAACATGTAACAGCTGCAAGAAAAGAATTCACCAACGATGTATTCCGAAAAAACATAACGAACATATTCCTGAAGAAGGTGATGAGGATCTATTCATGTGTCATATGTGTTATACTGAGGAAAGCGATGATGATGTTATTTCAGGAATAGAAGGTGAAGAAGACGGCGAAGCGTATAACGAAAAAGAATTCGACTGCAGAATGAGTAAAAAATTTAAACAAAATGAAAGTGAAGACGATATCGAAGCAGATGATCAAAAAGAATCCAACGTCGAAATCTATGAGGAGCGTGAAAACATAGAAAGCAATAAAGATCAAGAACCAAAAGAAATTGGCAATAAGAAGATTAACGAAATAAATGCACAGGAACAAAATTACAATTTGCCCGTCGAATCAAAACAAGTAGAAAGTAGGGAAGGTAATAAAGTGGATCAGCAAGATGAAACTAACAGCAAAGTTTATGGAAACTCGGGAGAAATAGAAAGTGAAGAAGTAATTGAAACAGACGATCAAATAAAAACTGACAGCAAAATGTGCAAGGAACCTAAAATGGGAAGTGAAGAAGATCTTGAAGATTATGACGACATGGACGTCGAAGAATTATTTCATATGTACCAATCTGAAATGAAAAAAATTAAATAATTCATAGTTGAGGTTCAATAAAAGCTTTTTAACACTGATTTCAACTTTTTATTTGCTTTTAATCATCACCTTGCCAGTGTCCAATAACTGGAAGTTTTGTGTCCATTAATTGAATTTTTTGTCCAATAACTAACTTTTCGGAACCTTTTCAGGTTTTTTCAATTTTTATTAAAGAGCTGTAATATTAGGAATATTTGAAATCCGTCAGCTTAAAATAGGATGCATGTACGAAAACCTGGCATAGGCAGAATGATATCCGTTAAAAAATACTCCAGTGGCAGCGACTTGAAATTCAAAAAAGCTTAACTGTCCAATAACTGGTATGTTTACCCTACAACATAATAAGATTAATATATTTAAGCTTTAATTATTGTATATATTATTTAGTCGATTGCTATTCATTGTTATATATCTGTCCATTTGTATGTGTTCCTGCGCTGTGAGGTTGAGTGGTAGAGTAGCCAGCTGGCTAAACTTCCTCTCGCAGTGTGGATGGATTAATAAAGACATTGTTATTATTATTATTTGGATAAACAGTTTGTAAATAATTACGAACCGCTACACTGAAATGCGCTGGTGCACCATAATATTGAAGAAATTTGAGGTAAGCCTGTCCGTCAAGTCGTCCCGGCAAGAAGAATGGGCCAATAAAGTGGTTGCTAATAGTTTCTGCTCATACGTCATCCGAAAATTGGTGTTGGAAATGGGTTTCGGTTACAGAATAGGGATTTTCGTCTGCCCACAAATGATTATTATGGTAATTCTGAATGGTATTTCGAGAAAAATTAGCTTCGTCCGTGAACCGAATCATTGATTCAAATTGCGGAGTTTGTGAGTTTTTTGAAGATACCACTGACAAAAGGCTACACGCCTTGGAAAATCAATAGAAAGTAATCCCTGTACTCTTGAACTATGGTAAGGATATAACAAAAAATCCACTGAAATTCTCCAAACAATTTGATGGTAGGATTTTGTTCTACTTCGTGCAGCACTGCTTCCTCAATTTCAAGTGTTCTCACACTTAGAAGTCTACCTTCAGATGTTTATTTTCGGACAGAGCCAGTTTCAACACGACGACGATGAATATTAGAAAAGGCTCGACTATCTGGCAAAGCACGATCGGGATATCTCTGGTGATAAATCCGTCTGGCTTGCTCACCATTACGGTCGGCAAGGCCATATACGTAATGCATTTCCGCCATTTATGCATTTGAATAATTCACCATTATTAACAAGACTGTAAAAACTAAATAATAAAAAAGATGTCACAGCGAACAGATTTGAATAACAGAGACCTGTCAGATGTCAAAGGCCAGTGATATATTCCAGAGCAACTAGATGTTTATTGCTAAATTGTATTCTTCAAATATTACATTAGTTTTCTCGGACAATAGAACTCAAAAATGGCGCATCAAAGGAAAACAATTCAATGAAGATCATTTGTCTTGAATTGAACGGCAATTCAAAAATAATTTTTATTTGGCAAAAAACCGTTGGCGTACCATTTTTTTCTTAAAAAATATCAAAGTCAATACGCGTACGCACGCCACTGTTAAAGCTAAAAATTATTTTTGCATTGAAAAATATGCAACTTTATCAACTTTCACTACATACTAAGTATCAGTGAAATATCTGTAGCAGTTCTGAAAATATTAATTACTTTTCTTGTTTCTCCTAGAACTTCAACACCCCGAGTTTTTGTAAGGAAACATTTTTGGACCATAGTTTATGAAGCAAACCAACACTAATTTTTCATGTAGCTTCACTACCTTAAATATTCGCATATCATTAAGGAACACCCTGATATCTTAACTCAGACTGTCATTAACTGAGAAAAGGCAAATGAAGCTACTTACATGTAGTTGTGCCAAGAAGTTGGTGAATATGTCAATCTGCTCAAGCAGCGACATGTCCCGCCCCTTGGCCTCCGCTAACCATAACACCAGATACATCAAAGCGACATGATGTGCCAGAAAGAATACGTATCTCACCGTCTGCATTTTTTCACCAGACTTCGCGGGGTGGACACCTAATACGTTCATCAGACGTAAACAGTGGTCAATCAGAAAGAGATGCATGGTGGACTGCAACTAAAGTGAATTCAAGCAGGAATTATAGATTTATAGCAGCTCCTTTGGAGTATTACAGGGTGGTAGTTTGAAGTTGAAGGGGAAAATATGGAAGGCAAAGGCGAGACAGAACAATACTGTTTAGCTGACAATGATTTGCCAGTGGTCTCAAAGATATGCGGCAACCTGCTTAGTGCCCACGGTAACGAAGATTAGTTTTGTTTTAAATGGCGTCACCAGTCGACAGATCAACTGTTCGGAACCTTAGATAACTAGAACGGTGACAGATCGTAAGTTTTCTACAAGGGCTAATGTTTGTTGGACGCGTTCAGTGAATATCAGCGGTACGACAGCGCTGCGAAAAGAACTGCTTTGATTTGCAAAAGCCAATTAAGCTCTCTATCGCTTAGCTTAACGACTGAAGTAGTAAATCTGCACAGATAAAGCCCAAGATGCATGATGCCTTTTATTGGAGCACTTTTACCCATTTCATTTATAAATTTGAATTCGAACTCAACTTCTTTATTGCCTCGTATATTTTACAAAAGGATAGAGCAGCGTCGGACACAGACCATGTCAGCGGAAATGACCCAACACAGCATACATGCCAATTTGAAGTAAGGGTTTGAAATAAAACAAAATATTACATTACACACTTGCATGTTGAAGCTCAAAGTAAAGTCGTATTGTCAATCTAACAATTGGACTCGATTGAAGACTAGAAACAGAGTATCCTTCTTGCGTTCTCTGGTAACAAATTATACGAATCATTCTAAGACCATATGCAGGGTGTCCGCAAAGATGGGGGTTTCCTTTACACGACGTGTAGATCTTGAAAACATAAGCAATTTTTCTTAGTATCATATACACCAATGTCTTAAGGGAACCTAGATAAAGGGCTCTGCAACATCAAAAATATCTGAATACCGTCCTGTAGCCACGACCCGGGACATCACCGATTGGTACAAGGTCTCAACCCGACGGCAGAACTGGGTCGGGGTCAGTGTGTCTGGTCAGTATGCAACCTTCAACCGACGGTTGCGGTCACGCGTGTAGAGGTAAACGAACCCATATAATCGATTGCGTTTCAAAAAACAACAAGCACTAGAGACGTGGCTAGAGAAGTGCAAGTATCAAAAACTAAAGTGTGGCAAACGCTGCGTGAAGAGGGGCTGTATCCGTTTCACGTCCAACGTGTACAAGCCCTTCAACCTGACGATTTTCCAGCAAGAGTGCGGTTTTGTGAGTGGTTGTTGCATCAACATGACAATAATCCGGACTTTTTGAAGTGCATATTGGTGACAGACGAATCTACGTTCACGCGTAATGGGGTGAATAACTTTCGCAACACTCATGTTTGGTCATTATGCAACATTTTGCCTTCCTTGTTTGCCTGCATCTGCTCGGTAGCGCATCAGCCGATTTCATTTTCTGTTGGAGCGGTATGATTTCGGGCAGAGACGTACTTAGCCCTTCTCGTCAACTGGAGAGTGAGTACTTTTTCCTTTATTTTTTCTACTTGGTCGCCCTCGTTTCACTACACATTACCTTTGTTATTACAAGGGTAGTTGTTTCTGAAAAAGAAAACCTCACCTTTGCGGACACCCTGTATAATGGAGCATTTATGGAAAATGTGAAAGCATGCTTAAACTTGCATTTAAGTAGATTTGGATGTTTCCTGATTAAGATGACATATAATATCATAAGATATTATCTACATAATGTCAGAGGATGCAGCCTGAGTGGCCACTCAGCGATACGTTTCTAATATTGATGACGAGTCCTAAAACATAACACATAACTATGCTACTTTGATGACAGTGATGCTGACTGATTGTCCCAATTCAACGTTCAGTCTAAGCGATCAGCAATTACTATCAATTATATGTTCATCTAAATCGTTCACAAATCACAAAAACAGAAATGGTGATATCACCCCACCCTGAGGTACTCCAAAGTTTATGGCATGTGGACTAGAAAATCCATCGATCTACGGGATCTCTGAAAGCATAGCCTTTAATTTTATTAGCGAGGATGTTAGCTTCAACATAGTCGGATGCTTTTGATAGATCAAAAAGTATTTTCGTCAAGGTTTCTATAGATGAACGAAAGCAATGAAAATGCTGCCGTATTTGTTGAGCGGTTAGTTCGGAAACCGTGTTTTCTAACAGATAGAATATTGTGCTCATTTAAAAAAGCATACATTCTATTTTCTTAAACAATGTTGAGAAGGCAGAAGGTAGTGTTTTGGGGCGATGATTTTCTCCGAGTTCAGTGCTTCCTTTTTCCTGAACAGGCAACACCATAGATACTTTCAAGAAATTCTGAAAGGTACCAGTTGCCGTTGATAATTAAATAAATATGTGAGTGGATATATTAAATACTTAGGTCTCTAACAATAAATGGTTCGTCGTTATCACCTGTTTTTGGTCTCAGGAACTGAAATATATCCGACTTTTTGCGCTGTTGTGATCTCCATAAAAGTTCATCCATACTTTAGGCCTGTCATTCTTTTCCTGACCACATGTGCCATGAGCTTGAGGTAGCAGTTGCATTTGATTGCATTTTTAGGAGAATGTCGAGTTCTGATTTTATGGTAGGTGACTACGGTGAAACATCGTCATTATCAGTAGAATGTTTGTTATCTGTGGCATGACATTTTTTAGTGGTTTTTTATGTTAGTTGGGCTTGATTTATGATTGGTAACTACTTCTGAATAGGTTTGTATAAGAGGACTTTCCTGGGTAGCATCCACAGTACGAGTTCTAGATTGATCTTCTTGCTTTTTTAGTTTCCAACACAGATCTCAATTTCTTTCTTTTTATATTTTTTTATTTCAATATCTAGATGAAGCTCCTTTCATGTCAGTACAAGTTGTCGATGATTTTCAGTCTGTTCTTACTTATCTAGCAGGTTCATGGTAAGAGTTCCATTGCCTACTGTTTTTGGTTGGTTGATAATACCCCTATTTCTGGGTCTTTCATGTGCTAGTTCTCATATTAACGCTTCTATTATAGCATCCGACTCATTTTCGACTCGATTATATGCTATGATAATATATTCACCATTACGAGCCCCTTCCCACTTCAGTTGGCCCAACTATTGAAATCTTAGTTTTTTCTTATCAAACACAAATAATAAAAATGTAGCAGGGTGTTATAGGTTTAAAATATTAACAATGAATATTTTGATAATATATAGTAGAAAAAACTTTATTACTCCCTAATCAAATTTGCAGCATAAAAATAACACATGTTGCAATTACAGCATATCAACTTATTTTCATTTCAATGCAAAATAGATGACTGTGAAAAATAAAAGCTATGACAATTGTTTTTATTAATCACAGCTGTCAGAATACGTTTAAAATAGTTTTGGGCAGTTAAGGTTTTCAAAATGGGTAGAGGAAAAGTTATTAGTGAGAAAATTCGGTTATTGATAATTCATTTTTTTAATTCTGGGAAATCAAACTCTGAAGTTGCAACTTTGTTAGACTTATCGCGGTACAGAGTGAGAAATATTGTTAGAAGATATAACGTAACTGGCTCAGTTAATATTAAACCACGATATGTGAAAAAAAGTAATATCACAGATGCCGATCGAAGAGCATTAAGAAGAATAATCGTGAAAAACAGGCGTGCCAGTTATTTACAATTAAGTGCCCTGTGGAGTGACGATATTGGAAGGAGAATTTCCAGGTCCACAACTCATAGAGAGGCCCACAAACTGGGATCTAGCACTTGAAAGGTAAGTTTTCTTATAAAAAAAGTGAAGTTAAAACCCTAAAGTTGCACAACTTGTTCATAGGCCAAAGGAAAGCCACTATTAGCTCCACTGCAAAAGAAAAATCGGCTTAGATGGGCTAAAGAACATAGACAATGGACTCCTAAACAATGGTGTGCAATACAATGGAGTGATGAGGCCCGATTCGAAGTTTGTGTTGGTGACAGTCGCAGTAGAGTTATTCGCAAAAAAATTAAGCATTCCATGTTGACTTTGAAGAGACAAGTGAAATGTCCAGCATCCATTATGGTCTGGGGCAGTATGTCATCAAAGGGAGTAGGAAAACTACATTTTATTGATGGAAATGTGGATACAAAAAATATTTGGCAATTTTAGAAGAATCGTTTTTACCAGTGATGGAAGAATGTTGGGCATCCGGCCAAGATTTTGTATTTCAGCAAGACGGTGCAGCATGCCATACCTCAAAAAAGGCTATAGAATGGATGGAAGAAAATAGTGTACCACTTTTGAAATGGGTCTCTAGCAGTCCAGATCTGTCACCTATTGAAACTTTGTGGCACGAGATGAAAAAGGTTCTACGACAACATCCTGCTCGTACAATCACCGAACTGAGACAAAAGCTTCAAGAAATACGGGATTGTTTTACACCAAATTTTTTGCCAAAACTTGGTTAACTCTATGCCCCAAAGAATTTCAGCCCTAATAAAAAATAAAGGTGATGTTACCCAATGGTAATCTTTCAATTAATGCTTTGTTAACTTCGCGCATTTATTCGCACAGTGTTTATTTTTTCATATGTTCTATTAGTTATACGTCTAAGTTATTTCAAATATGTATTTTTTATGACCAGAGTGTATCTAAAATGTTTTTTAGAAAATAAATTGTTTTAGAAGTAAATAGTTTCGTCATGTTTAGTTTATAAAGGCATATTTTGGTACATATCTTGAAGTGGGCCAACTGAAGTGGGAAGGGGCTCGTATATGTACAAGTATGTACATATAATGGTGTTTTGTCTATACATGTAGGTGCATTGTATGTAATAGCAGTTTATCTAGGTGTCCGTACATAACCTGCGGTTTCTTACATACATTTACTTTTACAGTGTCGTTAGATGCAATTTAATGATATATTGTGGTATTTTTTCGAATAAATCAAAATTAAACAGTCCAACTTGGCATTTCGTACATATCAACAGACTCCTAAAAACCTGGCAAACTAGACAGATGTGTCATCTGCATACCGATAGATCATACCATGCTATGAACATACAGC